CATTTTCATCGGCAAGGTCGGGTGCGACAACAACGACCCCAACGTCGAGGAGCAGATCAACGCCCTCAAGAGCTGGAGCGAGTGGGATCTCGTCGACCTCTGCGTCGTCGGTAACGAGGCCCTGTTCAACGGCTTCTGCTCCGTGTCCGAGCTTACCAGCCTGATTGGCCGCACCAAGTCGGAGCTCGCCTCCGTCGGCTACAACGGCCCCTTCACCACCACCGACGTTGTCTCCGCCTGGATTGACAACGACGTCTCGGCCATCTGCTCCGTCATTGATGTCGTTGCCACCAACGCCCACGCCTACTTCAACTCCGCCACCAAGCCCGCTGACGCCGGCAAGTTCGTCGCCGGTCAGCTGGCCATCGTCGAGAAGGTCTGCAATAAGCCTGGCTACGTCATGGAGACTGGCTGGCCCTCGGCCGGTAACTGCAACGGCGTCGCCTGCGCCGGTCCCACCGAGCAGCGCGAGGCCATCGAGTCTATTGAGCGCGAGCTTGGCAACAAGGTCGTCTTCTTCTCCTTCCGCAACGACGAGTGGAAACAGCCTGGTGAATGCAACTGCGAGCGCAGCTGGGGTTGCGCCGCCGTCTGGGGCGTCTAAGCTCTTCCACCTGATCGTGGCCCGCGGGTACCTCCCACCCGCGGGCAGCCCATCTGCCGCAATCTTCTGAATAGATAAAAACAAGTTCAACTGTCAGCTATTCCCCGTCTTTGATTTTAAGCGTGTATATATCCCATTTTCTCGTTGGATCGTCAACGAACATATACACCTTTACGGGCCGAGAGCAATGACAAGCGCTGCAGTTGGCACCCACAAACGCTCAGGGAAGTGTGATGGTGTCTCGTTTGTTTGACAAGGGAGTTTATGACGTCGACTATGATTGATTTGACCGGGTTTTGCTGCGTTTCCCATTCATAATGTTGTAATTTCTTAACTTGGTGTTCATTTACGTTTCAATTGTTGGGAATAAAACTTTGCTCGTCCCTCAAAGTGACTCGCCCACTTTGTCCCCAATCAATCTCATATCGTCCCTCGTATAAT